TATATTGCGGTTTTCATGTTCAGATCATTTAATCTTAGCAACCAAGATCACGCACGTTTAATTGACAATTATGCAGCCTAGAAACTGCTTAGATCCCAGTAGACAAGATATAAATTATTGTCCACACATAAAGCATTGAAACAAGGAATAAATATGATGAAACTCCACTTGATCATAGAGAAAATATTTCAGTGCATCACAATCGGCCAGTACTTTACGTGTCTTCCAACCTGTGCTCATTCGATTTCTACACGCTTGCGCTCTACCGCATTGGTTGTTTACATACCATTGCATTTGTTTCCGGTTTGTGTTTTAAGAACCTCTGAAGTGTTCACAGATCTACAAAGATAATCTCACACGCCAGTTCATTTGGGTTCACTGTGACCAAACATCACTTCTCGCAATGATTTCTGCTGCAACATTTTGTACAACAACACCCACCCACTTATTCCCACATTAAGTAAATGTCTATCCACTTTGGTAGCGATTAACGATCACATGTGTGCATACTGGCAGTATATCATTTAGTTTTTCGCAAGATGTTTGGTGTGGTAGATCTCCGTGAACACGGAGCTTACGGAAGTACTCAGCTGAATATGAACTTTTCCTTTCTTAACCTTGATTGTAATTTGCTTTCTCGTTTAACGCAACACTTGATGTCAAAAGATTTCTCTTCAGGCACAGTGCTAACTGGAGCAACTACTTGAATTGACCTGATATATATCGGATTTATACTACAGGTGTGGGTTCGGAAATTTTCCTGCTAAGGAGGAAACCTCACTTATTGTTGTTCTCCGGTCTGAAGCATTAGTTGTACCAACGTGACATTAGCCTTTTTCTAAAAGTAAATCGGGTCTCGGAACACGCCGTACTGTTATATGTTCGCGAATGCTGGACGCTGCGCTTTCGGCAACTTACTATGTTTTTCTTCGTCCCCACTTTACTTCCTTTTATTGTATATACAAAGATACAATTTTCATGGTAAGCGGCCAATCAAAGGGCTGCCATTCAACACAATGGGGAAAGTTAGGCCGTGGTGGTGGGATTCGAACACACATCCAGGGGGTGATAATTTTATGTTACCACCGCGCCACTCTCCTACGACCTAGCCCGTTCTTTTCGCAGGTTTGCGTGTTTGTACACCGGTTTTTTATTCTGACTTCTGCTCCTATCCTTATCCACTCGCTTTCGATACACCTCGCCATTCAGTGTCTATTAGCGTGACTAGTAAAAGGTTTGCGCTGAACAGTCTGTGACTTGATCCAGAGAGACAATGAGGCTGCCGGTGGCCTTAATTCATTCCGGTCTGTTCGGTTCACCATGTCTAACCCTTTAGTTAGAGTACACAAAAAGGTATTAGTTAAACTCCAAAGTGCCAGGTGAATTTTTTGTCATCTTTCCCGGGGGTTCGTGATTCGTTTGTGCTTGGAAATGTCAGGAAAAATGATTTGAGACCACACATTTTTTCAAGTCTGATTGATTACCACCTTTCCTTGTTTCAGGTCGGTGATGAGGTGAAAATCAACAAAATTCTCACCGACGGATTCTGTGAAGTCTGGCGTGAACAGGATCATACAGGTGGACTGGTCCCTATCAACTGTTTGGAGATCGAATGTAAATAATTCACCCCATTTACTGCTCATCAACCCCGTCCCCCCATTGCCTCTGCCTTGGTACCGGAGCAATACGCACTGCTTTTCACTTTTCACTATTCATCTGAGTTGGTTTATATGATTTCTCTTCGTATGCTTTGAGTAAAAAATATACTGTGGCTACACGGTTCTGCTGTTCTGTTCTCTTTACTTCGTTGATGTATGTAATTTGCTGTGGTGGCATGTTTGTATTTTTTTTATTGTCCAATACGTTTTTGAGCACGTTTTTAATTGATTGATTTTTCTTCATGAGAAGTAAATCATTTTTTGATTGAAACATTATCTTTATCATGTTCCTAACAAGTGAATCTCCAACAGCGAAATCCACACGCCCAGACGATTTACCGTTCCCGATATGTGCACGAGTCAAACGAGCTAACATAGTCATTGTAAAACCTGCCTTGAGAAAGGTTACCCACGCTAACCGAAACGTCGGCGAATATAATTGTCCACCGATATCGCTGTGTTATTAACACTAACATTCACAACGAGCAAACATAGTGTTCTAAATTGATGAAGTCAGTCGTTCATGTGATTGTTTGTCAGAGCTGAGAGTTTCGATGCGGCGGAAATGTTTGTGATCACCGACAAAGAGCACTGGACAGCTGTTTCGTCCTGTTTGGGACTCGTCAGCAGTGCGTACTTTTTTTCCCTGTCAGGACTCGGATCGCGAATATTAGGGTCGGGACTTCAAACCCTTACCCTTGAGCTACACGTTTGATGTTTATCACCTTGTGCGAATGGCTCGATCAATTTAGATGGTGAATGTTTGGATTAGCCCATTCGATTTTTCACAGGTACCAGACACTGTTGATGATGTTAGGTGTGGGTTTCACCCCTTGGGTGATCGTTAGTTCCTCACGAGGTAGATGCATTCAAATACGCCCCAAACAGGACGAAACAGCTGTCCAGTGCACCTTGTCGGTTATCACAAACATTTCCACCGCATCTAAAATGCATTCAAATCGTGGGGGATGAACAATCTCCCAAGGAGTGAAACCCACACTCAAAATCATCAACAGTGCATAATGCCTGTGAAAAATCGAATGGGCTAATCCAAAGATTCACCATCTAAGAGCTTCGACTCTATACTCTATGCTTCTTGATTAGAGTTCCTACCGGAACACATTGATTGTACGCACTGCTCAGTAGTCCTAACAGGAGTCAAGCAGCTGTCCAAGTGGGTTTTATCGACCCTTAAGCAAACTTCCCNTCCCTCCGTATATGTTAAATGTGTAAATCTTTCCAATTAATGACATCCCAAGAGGAGTGGAATATGGTCCTACCGGTCGATAAGCAAACCGATGCACTATGTATTATCGGATGATTCGCTACTGTCTTATCGTCCTCTCTGTTAATACAATAGACTGAAACTGATCAAATTCATGGGTGTCCCTTTTATGATGAATAATCGTAATGCTCACCGAATCGGACGCGTTTAATAAAGCAAGGGGACCAATCTTATGGACATTTAGCTTATAGTATCCGAAGTTACGAATACTTCACTTCAATACAGAGGGATAATGGGGTAATGTGTTGTTTTTCTCGAGATAAGCTTCATCAGCGTGCATTGTTCACATACTTCATTAGTGACTGATTGGTTTTAGTGTACTGAGTACTTTAAAACGCATCTAAAGCACATTAGTTGTTCTACAGTAAGTCGCTTTGACTTCATTTTATCGGGTCTGTTTAGGTTTCAGAGAGCCGAACGAGTTGGTTATAGTTTCTTAAATGGGACATGGACCATTACACTGCTCCGTTATTTGTTGAAAAGTGGGTCTATTTTTGACAAAATGAGTTGGCTCCCTGGATTAGTCAAAAGACAACTTTTCCTGCCCGCCGGTTTTGGTCAGGTCGTTGCAGATGAGGATTCGCTCTTGATTCCGTAGCCAGTCGCCACTGACCGGGAATGCACATTCCAAGTTCGGCATCCATTATCTTCATTCATGTTCTAAGCTGGCTCCAAGTATTAATAATAAATGTCTTTTTACTTCCTTTTTTACTTATTGAATATACAAATGTACAGTCAACTTTCAGGAAGGGGGCTGCGGCCATACAAAGGCTGCCCAGGGAGACGGGCGGCGGTGGAGCGGTTTGAACCCTGGACGTCCGGGTCACAGTTTAGTGATCATACCACTTAGCCACCACCGCCCGTTGAAGATACACGGGAATGCGACATGAAATGGTACCTGCATCATTAGGCTCTTAATCAAGCTTGCACAGCTAAGGGCGAACTACCAGGTAGCTGACTACTATCTTATTAAAACGCTTTCATGTAGCTCAGATAATGGTCTGATTCAGCTGGCCTGTTGAACAGTTTTCCGTGGTATGCTTGTTGTTCAGTCGTAAGCGGCTTCTCGGAGTCACAGCTGATCAATATGTACCAAGTGAGAAACATAATCTAGAAGAACGCTCTCAGGTGACACGAAATCGTTCTATTGCTCCAATACTCATTTTGATCATTTGAATGATTGGGTTCGACGGAAATCGTCTGTTTTGTGAAATTGAATGATTCAAGCTTTTCATCCGGGAGATTTTTAATGGCTTAATATTCAACATAAATCTCAGTTGTAATACTCCGAATGAGGATTTTGTAGTCTCCCTTAATGTTGTGCTCATCATTTTGTTTCCTCTTTAACGGGTAACTTTCACTAGGTTACCAAGCCGAATCCCAGCGTATCATATCAATTATCCATTTCTGTGTATTCAAAATAATGCAGGAAAAACAGTTGTAATGAACGGTACGATCCCTTTTTTATTTGTAGAATGTTTCAATTAGTGTATTTTGTTGTTTATAGCCAAATGATCTCATGTCTTCTCACTGCTGTTCGTTTCTGACTGTCTAGCCCCTGTACCATGTCTCTGTTGCCCAGAGTCGGAAAATTGGTTCTTTCTAGAACAGCACTTTTGGTGTGCGATATTCAAGAAAAGTTTCGATCACAAATAGCTCATTTCGACGCCATCACTGAAGTCTCTAGTCGTATGCTGCAAGCGGCCAAAATCCTCGGCATACGAACTGTAATAACCGAAATGTACCCAAAAGGTAAGTTTGTAAATGAATCCTGTAAGCTAATCCCGGTTGTCAAGTCGGATTGCTTTCTGACCTTTTGTTTTCCATTTCTGTATTGTGATAGTTTTTTTTATTTGGATTTCAGCTTTCCTTGGACTTGTTCGATAGTCCGAAATACCTTGTGTTGTGAATGGGTGCATGCACTTACAGCCTGCGTACTCTGTTTTTTGCCTGATGCTGCCATCGGTGTTTCATTTAACCCTGGTTCTTTCTTCATCGATCCATCGAATTGGAAGTCGTAAAACAACATCCACAAACCGTGCATCAAAGGAGGTCAATTATCACCTTTAACTAGCAACTACTGCTAGCCCTCTTAAAGTCCAGGTATCCCGAAAATAAGTTGTCTCTTAAGGTATAAGGCCTCCGATCCGGTGGGGCAAGCCCCATTATATTTGAAGGACGGAGATTCAGTCCCGTTCCTTATATCATTATTATATTTCACACCCGTCTGAGGTTAGACCGTTTGCCAAACAAATAATGGTACAATAATCTTCATGAAAACAAAAACGTTCCACGATTTGCATGTGGGTCGAATGCTGCCAGGTTACCCAGGCCAAAGCGGGTGCATTTTCTTGAGGAATCCGCAATCGGAGCCTTCGGCTAGCCAAAGCCTGGTCCTGCAAGGTAGCGGGGCGGTTTGCGAAAATCGCAATCCAATGGGGGGCTAGTGTCTAGCTCATCGAATCATACGCCCTTTGAAAGGGGCCAAACGTCCGAGGTGCCCAATACACCTCGATGCCCAATTAAGCTGGTGGCCAGTGCCACAACCGGAAAAGTGTGGGCGTGGTTCGTACACCTTCTCTTGGTTGGTTTGGGATCAGGGTTTTTAGCCAACTCCCCTAGGTGAACTACCAGTGATCCACCACCCCAGGTATAGCCCCGAATGTCGGCTTTTCGTCCTCTCACTTTAGTGGAGAAACCTCCGCCACGAGAAAGCAGTGAGTAGGGCTTCCTCAGCAGAGGCTGGTTGAGACGCTTGGTCGTCTAAGAGCTTTTCGTGAGGTGCAAGAAAGGGATGAGCAGCCGTAACCAGAAACACCCACTCCCGTTCATACTGAGGATTTCGGAGATAGTCCTGGTCCTGAATTTGACGAAAGTCCTTGGTTCAGTACGGAAGGGTGAACAGGGTGCAGCTCAATAGTGAGTCGATCATTTCATCGATCAACGACTAAGGTCCTCTCGTGAAAAACATTGAAATTATTTCAATCGATATTAGCTCCAAACTCCCCGGGGGCACAACACTCCTCCGATAGTCTTTCACACGGAACGGTGCATGCGCGAAAACTAGGCTAATTTAGACCTAGTCAGCTTGGCATTAACCACATTTTAACTGCCCCAAATTCCTCTCGTAGACTCACCGTTTATATATTCTTCGATCTCAAAGCGGCTTTCTACTCAGTTGGCCGCTTCATACTCCGGTGCTACCTCTCTTTGAAGGATGTGCCCGAGAAGTTGATTTCAATTTTGCGATTTGTCCATACTGATTGCTGAAGCCGTGTCCGAGCTTACGGCAGTTTGTCGCCGGAGTTCATCATGGAAGCAAGTGTTCGTCAAGATTGTCCTTTCCCTGTGCCTCCACTTCTATTTAACTGTGTTACAGATGTGATTGTTGAAACAGCCCTGTCCTCATAATAAGATAGCGGCATCGGTTTGTTCTCCGATCCGGACAATGCAAATTGCATCTCACTGTAAATTAAGGGTCCAGTTGAGTTCCAGATAGTGATGTCGATGGCCCGCTGAATTATTCACAGAAGTGCTCCGCATACTTGTCAAGGCGACGTTGTAGATGGTGGTTACGCTCGCCATTCTTTTCATTTATGGTCTTACTCATGCATGAGTTTTTGTTACCAGTGGCTCGGATTAATGGGGAGCATTACACGTAGCAGTGGCTAGTTCAATCTCGGAAGCGCGTTGTGCCCACCAGGTCTCTCCATCTTCATTTAGGAAGCATTTCAGTTTAGCATTAAGAGCTGTGCCGTATTCATTACCTGTAGTGATGCTTTGACGGATGTCAAGCAGTTCGAGAGAACGTGTGGAACCTCAACGACTGACGGTGCACTTGGTAAACCAACATGCTGTGGTGGTGGACTTATGCATCGTGTTACGGATGTGAGCCCAATGGCCATCAACGTTTGAAGATGACGAAATGTCTATATCCGCAGCTGTTTTTTTTGGTGAGCAGTGCCCACGTTAGGGTCGGTCAGTTTCATCAGTTCTAATCTTCTCGGGTGACTGCTGTTTTCCAGCAAAGCGCAGAGAGAATTTCTTACTCTCGAGTTCATGAATCGAGCTGTAAAAAATCCTCCATATGAATTTGCTGTCCGGTATGCGATTTCTCCATCGATAGCTGATGATAATATGATGTACTTAAGTCCAACGCTGACCAGATGATGGATGTCGCTAGATGGCACGTTGGTGCCATGGTCATCGAAAATATTTGCTCGGATACACCCTGTACAGCACAGAGTTGCATGAGTCGGTCACCGTTTTCTGTTCTCCCAACACCGAGGCTATGCTATGTTATGTTACTTCCTGGTTGACTTGCTGAAGGGGGATGACCGCGGGGTCCTCTCTAAATCCTTTTACTAAAATTTCCAACTTCCAAGACAGCAAGACGTAGCTCCAAATCTGTAGTCCATTAGGGGCCGTCGTCCAATTCTTCGGATTATACGCCCTTTGGACGAGGTCATATGTCCAAGATGCCTAACACATCTACATGTCCAATCATCCAGAGACCATTTTGTCAACTAGTAGGATGTGGATGCGGTTCATGCGCCTTTTGTTGGTTTTAAATAGGAGTTTGAGCCAATTCCCCTAGGTGAACTGCTAGTGGTTCACCAACCCGCTCATAACCCTGGATATTGGCTTCTCGCCCCCTCACTTTTACTTTACTGCGGCTGGCTCCTTGGAAAGGATCAGTTGGCTCCAGACATAATCATGATCATGATCATGGAGTTTCTTGGGATTTTGGTACGAGATAATTCTCCAGCGTCACTCGACGTTTATATTTTAAGGGCGCACCTCTAGCCTTTGCACAACCAAGTTCGAACTGCAAGGCAGCAGGAATTGATCCCTCGCCTCGGAAGTGAGACGGTCAGTGACACAGCTAAGATGTGTGTTCTCTAAGTCACCAAACATCCGATGCTACAACAAAGATAAACTGCCTATGTTGACCACATCTCTGATTCTCTACTAATTCAAGTGCACCTGTGGTGCTACTTAGGTAGGTCGAACGACAAAAGCAGTTATCTCGACGGATCAAAGAACACAATCCACGCTGGCTCATACAGGGTGGGAGTGAAGCTCGATCGTTACTCCTCTGGTAGAGTCGGGACACTTGGTTGACACGCGCTCAGCATTTACAATCGTCTATCGAGTCTCACCACACACACCGAGAGCAATACGGTTTCGGACTTTAGCAACCACAGAGGCGATTAGCATCCGACTCATGAAGCCTGAGCTGTACGCACAACGCAAACTGATTCAAGCTCTCAAACTCCTTTGGCCAGGGGAGGAGAAAATCGCTCGTTCACAAGACCATGACGTAACCACTTTGGTTATGTGATCCAAACTGCGCACAAACTTTGATTTCTCTTGGGCTCATTGCCAAACACATGATTCATCCACCTTTCTGTTTGACCGTATTGAAATTTTTTCATATAAATGTGATTGTAAAAGCTCGAAAAAGGAATTCACCGAAAACATGTTCGCCTACACTGTGTTCCTAATCAATGGGCATATTCCGTGACTTTAGTTTTGAAAGTCCAGTCACATCGACCTTTGTCATGACGCTGTCAATGGGCTTATGCGGCTCTTAAACAGAAGCCGGGTGACCAGCCTGAAATCCACCACAACCTGGTAATGCCGCCGCTGTTTGTTCGCGACTGCTTATTTGTTGCAGTATGTCAGCTTATTCACAGCTTACCTTCTTCGGTGAAGGTATCCCCCTATCCACAACCCGGCGGCGCACCTGGTAGCATTCAGCTCTGCTTAACCCGAGGGTATCCCCCACTTCGATAGGAAAACACTGCAATGGGAAGGTAGTAAGAATGGCTTTCCAAGAAGAGGCTATTTAAAACTCTCGGGCATCTAGGAGTGTTTCATGGGGTGCAAGAAAGGAGTAACCAGCCACAACGCGAGACACCCAATCCCGCCCATAACTAGGCTTATACTGATTGGGTACGAAGACCTATGCATTTCCTCTGTCAAAACATCACCTTTAACTGAAGAGCTGATGTGCGTTAGGCTTTCTTAAGTTCTTCAAGGTAAAAGTTTTGCATATGCACTACATATCCCATTTACCTCTCCGAATATCCATTTTGAATAGAATTGCGTGAAACACAATAAGTGGATGTAATCGGACCTTTTTTGAGTCGATGATTCGCCATCTGTTCACGGTCAACCACAACAAGACAACAAAACACTGAGAACATAACCCAACCAGATGGGAAGACGTTAACATTTGAATATCATGTTTTCGCAGTTCGTTTTCAAACAGATAATATATGTAGGGAAGAAATTTAATGGGAATAATTATCCACGAATATGGATCTCCGTTGTGTTGCTGTCTCGAATCAGGTGAGATCACTGAAGGAAAGTTCGGAATGTTGCCATTTTAAACTCTGATAGGATTATGAGTGAAATATCAAAGTCGTTGTATTAAGGGTTTTGTTATATCTGTCAGATCTGAGTTCTCGAAAGTTCATCCATTTAAAATAATTAACACCACTCAATCATCGCGAGTCACTGTTATAAATGGACAGTTTGTTTATACCTTGCTCCATTTATTTATCCTACAAGGGAAACTGGATAAACTTGAAGCACAACAACAACTTTCAATCTCCTCGTTGAACCACACCTGTTTATACCGCATCCCATTTTGGAAGATGTATGTATTTACCACTGTTTTTTTTTCTGTCTCATCCCATTTTATTGTCCAGGTCTGGGCAAAACTGTCCAGGAATTGGGCGATCTCAGCGGAATTCCTGTGATCCCAAAAACAGCGTTCAGTATGTACACAGATGAAGTGGCGCAGGTGTTGGAATTAGGCAAACAGATCGATAGTGTTTGGCTTTGTGGCCTCGAGACGCACGTGTGTGTTCAAGCGACAGCGTTGGATCTGGTCGAACGTGGGGCTCAAGTTCATTGCATCATGGATGCATGTTCCTCACGAAATATGGTCGATCGGTGAGTTTTGTTTTGTGCGTCACCCCGCCCGTCATCTGTCCACCTTGAAAACGATGTATCAGCTTCCATACAAAATGATCTCTTTCCGCTTTGTCACGTTTTCTGGTGGAAGGTAAACACCGTTCTTGTAATCTGAATATGATGCAGAAAGGTAATCACCAAATTAGATTCACGAGGGACTGTTTCAGTTAATTACGACAGTAAAAAGTCAACGTAACTTTTGCTGTTGCCGACATTTCCGCTCTCTTAGAAAGCCTTTTTCAGGTCAATTATTAAATGAACATTAAACTAGTAGTGAGAGATATTCCCTATTTCGTATAGATTTCTGTTTCATTTTAAAACCCTGTTCTGTCACGTATTTTTTAGTCCTGCACGTTGTGGTGAGGTGGTCGAATTTATAAGAAGTCGTGTCAATATTGTTGGATCGGATTTACCGGAAATAGCTGTGTATAGTGATTCGATCGATTGTAATAGTAGTAATAATAGTAGATCCCTGTGAATCATCTACCCGAAGAATTGGGGTGTGAATCCCCGAATAACACCTACTCTGGTTTGAACAAACAATCACATCGCTTGAGAAATGGAGACCTGGGTCATTAACCTGATCGAAATTTCTATCTAGTTAANNTAAAATAAGGCGTCTCCAAAGTTGAACTGGTGATGTTGCCCGCCATAGCTGCGAGCAGCATTCCACCTCGGGAAACCGTTCAACACCAACATTGAGGTTCGTTTATGTGATTGTGGCGGGATTGTTGTTTACGCTTGGTATCACACTCTTTAGACGGTGGTACGAAATTGACTATTGATCGATCGCGTCACCTGACTTGGCGTGTAACTTTACCCTGGTCGGGACATCGGACATGATTAAAACCATAGACCCATGTTTGATCTCGGAGAGTCTCTGTACTGTGATCTGTTGGACTATCTAAAACGAGATCAGTATAAAGTATATAATACCGCAACTTTTATTCTCCTGGTGTGGAATGGGCATATTACACTCGTTTAATAGCTGTATTGAACATATTAAGCTGTGCTTTGTCTAGTTACAGAATTCAGCAGGCGCCATGTAAATCCAAATGCTTAGCTTAGTCGCAGTGAATACCACCAGCACAT